TGGTCGAACCTGTCAGGAAAAGGGGGGCTGCTCAGGGAAGCTTTGAGTGGCTGGGCTAGGAGGAGCCGTCAGCCAGGGCTCCCCACTCGCTTGGGCTCAGGGTTTGGAGCGTTTGGGTCTGGAGCAGTGTGCCCCCTTCCCCCTCCACCATCCCGGGAGGAGAGAGCCGTGTAGCAGCCACACCCGCCTCCTTCTCTTACAGCATCATGGCTGCACCAGCCACTGCGGAGCTGAAGCCCTTGGCCGAAGGACAGGTGTCCCAGACTGATGAGGTAGCGTGCTGGCCGACCCTTGGGCGGAGGACTCGGGGGCTCCCTGTTCACAAGGAGGCCAGGGTGGGGGCCTCAGAGAGCTGCTACTTTCTGCTGGACAGTGGGCTGGCATGGAGTTGGGGGAGACAGGAGGACCTGAGTTTGAGCTCTGCCTCAGATGCTGGCTAGCTGGGTGACCCTGGGCTTGTCACTTAAATGCCCTCTGCCTTGGTTTTCTTATCTGTAAAGTGGGGAGAGGCACCCACCTTTTAGGATTATGGGGAGGATCCAGCAAGGGGACGTGGAGAGCATGTGGCCAACCTTCACATGCTGTATAAATGTTGTTCTCATTGTTGTCAGTAACATCTGAGGCACTGAGTGAATGCTTCTTGTCCACATTCCTGGCTTTGTGGCCCTGAACAAATCACAGAACCTTGCTAGGACTCATTTTCTCCATCAACAAAATGGGTTCATAAATACTTAGTGAGGAAAACTCCATGAAAATGGGCTGCTCCAGGGGACAGCCATGACCTGGAAGGATGCTGGGCCTCCTCCCGTAGTGAGGCTGTGCTGGCATTTTGGCTCAGGAGTCTGAGGACCCGAGTTCGAGTGCCACCTCTCGTCACTTAAGCCTGTGTGACCCCGGGCAGGTCGCCTCCCCTCTCGGAGGCCCAACGGCCTCTGAGGTCCTCCGGTGCTAAGTTCTTGGTGCCCACCTTTGCTGTTCCTCCTCGAGCCCCCAGCTGGCTCATCTCCTTTTTGGGTGGGTGGCCTCACCCGGAGCGTGGGCCTCCGTCCATCTGTGGCTGTTAGGGCTCTAAGCCTCGGAGGTAGGCACGACAGCCAGTGTGCCCATTTCACAGATAGAGCAATTGAGGGCCCACACAGCCAGGAAATGGCCCCGCTAGGGCCCGAACCCGGGCTCGTCGTGTCCTTTCGCCTTCCCAGAGGCATCTCCTCCTTGGGAGCCCTCGGCCGACCGTGTCTCGGCAGAATTCTGGCTTTGTCTGGTGCCCAGCTCAGGAGTGTGGGGGCGGTCAGGCGGCCCTTGAGGGTGGGGGACAGGACCCAGGCCTTGCTCCTGAAGCTTTGCGGGCCTTGTTTCCGCAGGAAGACATGGGGGTGACCTACAAGGAGCTGGCCGTCTTTGGGAGACTGAGGAAGATGGGGAAGGCCGGACCATACAGCATGTTCTGCAAACTCGTCAACATGTGGAAGGAGATCTGTACCCCCAGAGAGGTAGCAGAGCATCCCGCGTGCCCCTCCCCCTGCCGCCGGGCGGCCCTGGGCCCGCACCATCCCCTCGGCTCCTTCGGGATGGGCTGTCACTGGAGCCCCCAGTTAGGAAACGCCCCAGCTCACTGCTGCCTGGCCCACGAGCGGCCGACCACTGGTGTCTACAGGTGGTCACCCATCAGTGGGAGGGAAACAGCCCACCTTGTGCTGGGGCTCCTGTCCTGGACATCTCCCCTCTCTGCCCCTGCCTGGTCCTGCTGTGCACCCGGCACTAGGCTGGACAGCCCCTGCCCTCGAGGAGTTTCTAATCTGAAGGGGAGGCCACGTGCATGTCTGTACCAAGCAAGCCAGAGACAGGCTAAATAGGAAACAACGAATAGAGGAAGATGCTAGAATGACCAGGGGTAGGAAGGCGCAGTTCCGCATTGGATTCAGTCCAACAAGGGGGCTGAAGCAGGATTCTGCCCTCAGGGACATGGATCTCAGGAGTCCGGGGTCCTTGGAAGTCATAACTTCATAACTCTTAGACCATTATCGCTGCTGTCAAGGCCCCCGGTTTGCTTAGGATGCTTGCCTACTCCCACCAGGCATTGATCAGGCACCTATTGTGTGCGTATCACAAGACCCAGACGTAAGGGGTGTCTGCCCTCCAAGGAGGCAGCACCTTCAGACCTGCTTCCCATACAGGATAGGAGCTGCCACACGGGTCTGGCCGGGCTGGGGGCGTCTTCCCAGGCCCCAGACCAGACCGTGGCCCAGGTTCCCCGGCATTGGGTGCACTGTGAGCCTGATGCGCGAGTCTCTCCACATCCCACTGTGTAGTCAGTTGTCTGCACCCCAGAGGCTCCCGGGCCGCCTGCCCAGTGTTTTGTCCTCCAGGTGGCCGACAAGGTGAAACACTTCTTCCGGAAGTACTCACTGAATAGACACAAGATGACCACCCTCACTCCCTCCTATCACGCTGAGAACTACAGCCCAGATGACAACAGGTTCGACCCGAGGCCCTTCCTGTACCAGTCCAGCTGGCCCTGGCAGTTCCGCTGCATCGACCAGCAGGTGAGGCACGCGACCTGGCCATTCCCAGGTGGGCCGTCCCAGGGCGCCAGGTCCGAGTCTGTGGAGATGCTGGGAGCCTGTGCGATGCCAGCTGACCCTTTGGATGAAGGGGCAGCGCTGCACCGCCGCCGGCCCTTGGAGGTTTCCCGATGGCTTCCAGGCAGAATCTCCAAAGCTCACAAGGAGCTGAGAGAATGGGGCTGCTATTAGCCTAATTTTATGCTTGGGAAGCCGCTCTCGGGGCAGAAGTGACTTCACCCAGGGTCACAGTCTGAAAGCCACTTTCAGCTCTGGAGACAGCGGCTTTCAGTCGTACAGACGCCCCCAGCACCTTGCACCCCACCCTCCTTGGGATCTGGAGTCTCTGGCTGCTGCTGACTGCCTAGTCTATCTGAGAATGTGGGAGCTGCCTCCCCCCTCCCCCATCTTGGCCCTGGCACCGGGGTGGGAGCTGCCAGGACCGTCTTCTTCCCCCCCTCCCGCATCTTGGCCCTGGCTCAGGGTAGGAGCTGCCAGGACCATCTTCTTCCCGCCCCCTCCTCCGTCTTGGCCCTGGCACCGGGGTGGGAGCTGCCAGGACCGTCTTCTTTCTCCCATCCCCCATCTTGGCCCTGGCACCGGGGTGGGAGCTGCCAGGACCGTCTTCTTTCTCCCCTCCCCCATCTTGGCCCTGGCACCGGGGTGGGAGCTGCCAGGACCGTCTTCTTTCTCCCCTCCCCCATCTTGGCCCTGGCTCAGGATGGGAGCTGCCAGGACCGTCTTCTTCCCGCCCCCTCCTCCGTCTTGGCCCTGGCACCGGGGTGGGAGCTGCCAGGACCGTCTTGTTTCTCCCTTCCCCCATCTTGGCCCTGGCACCGGGGTGGGATAGACCTAGAGCATGCAGCTCGTGACCTTGTGGGGTCCAGAGACTTCCCTGAATGACTGTGTAGCTCAGCCTTGGGGTCTGGAGGCCTGGGTTCAATTTCACCAGGTATAATAACACTAGCTAGTGTTTACCCAGCTCTTTACAGATAACTTTAAAGAGATTATCTCTTAGTTCTCACAACTACCCTGAAAGGCAGGCATAGTAATTTCACAGATAAGGAGCCAGAGGCTCCCCCTCAGTGGTCACATAATTAGTGTCAGAGGGAGGATTTGAACTCAAGACCATTCAACAGGAAGAGAAGACAGATGAGGGCAGAGAGCATCCCCCCTGAAAGCCTTGGTCTGACATCCGGGAGACCTCAGGTCCTGCACATGTTCTACTGGCGCTGGCTCTGAGCCCCAGTGTCCTCATCTTTAAAATGGGCACTCTGATCATACCTGCAGTGTCTCGCTCCGTAGGTTGTTAGGAGCTAATGAGATAATGTGAAGCACCGTATAGAAGTCATCCCGACTTACCTTATGCGTTCTTGGGAGAGGGGCTGCTGCTGCCCCGGGGCAGTGAAGAGCCCTGGCTCCTCAGGGCTGAGCCTTCTCTGAGTTAGAACAGAGGGCCGTACTGCCTGGGGGTAGCCTCCACCCTCTCTTCCTTGCAGGTGATGAAGCTGGAAGGCACCGAAGGGGAGCAGGACTTTGATGATCTGGTGTGATGGACGCCTCCTCTGGCCGTGCTGCGGTGCAGGCATCCCCTCCCCCCACCCCAGCAGTTATTTTGTCTCTCTCTCTGAAACGAGGTGTTAAAATTACCCTGGCTGGCATGACACGCAGGTCTGCCTGCACTGGGGTCAGTGGGTTCTGATTCTTTACAAAAACTGTCTAAAATAAAAATCCATGTTTACTGTTCTTCCGAGATCCCTGGGTGACTTTCCTGGGGCCCTAGGGTGCCTCCTGCTTTCCAGCTGAAGACAGTGGGTGGTCCCACATCCCTTGGGGAGGTTTATTTCTTAGAGTGACATTAGGCCACTAAGCACTGAAGTGATTCAGGAAGAAAGCTGCTCCTTGGTCCACAGAATCTGGGCGCTCTTGGAGTGGTGAGAGCTCTCAGCCAGCAGGAAACTCCTACTACTTGCTTGGGAACCTGAGCCATCAGGGCCGGGAGAGACCGGAGGTTGCTAATGCAGCAGGGTTTCGTGAATGCAATTAACTTGGAATGATTGGCCCAGAAGCTTGAGTTCACTCATCACTTGTAAAGAAGGAAAAACACTGGGAAACAGATTGAGTGTTCTGGGGGGAGGAGGTAATGGGCCTTTTCCGGCCCGCTTCGGCCTGGCGCCCAAGAAGCTTTCAGTACAGAAGGTGGGCACGGCCCACCTCGTGCTCTCAGTCTGGCTTTGGGGAGCGCTTTAGCTCAATCAGACCATTCCTCCTGGGTGAGCTGTGAGGGAGGGAGGGGATTTAAAGGCTCGGAACTGCCGTTCTCCTCCCACCTCGCAGACGGAGAGCGCCTAGGTGTCCCACTTCCTGGGGGGTGAATTCAGCTCTTGCCAGCGCTAAGCCCGTGACGCCCACTTCCCTGAAGTTTTCTCAGTAAGTCTTTTTCCCCATTATCCCTGAAATGGGGAAATGTCGGGAGATGGGGGAGAGCACAGGGAATCACGGCTGTTGGGGGCTCAGGTGGGGTTGGCAGGTGCGTACTTATCCAGGCGGGAGACACATATTCAGCCTGGCTCCTCCTGTCCCTCCCCCAGTGAGGTTCAGAATGTTCCGCTGGGGCTGGGTTGGAGGCTAAGCTGCTGGTCAACCCAGAGCTGGCTTCAGTGAGACGTGACCCCTCCCCAAAGGAGGGGGTCCCAGAGGTCTCAGAGGTGAAACACTGTAAGGTAGGGGTCCTTCCACGTCTGAACTAATGTTGACGGCTACTCGGGTTGTCCCTAGGATGGATCCTACTGTCCCCAGTGACCCCTGACTGACCCATAGGATTCTATCCTATCCAGATCATTCGTGGATCTCTGGACTCTGGGGGTGGGGTGAGGATGGGAGTCCAGGGTAGGGCATAGTGGGGAATCTTGGATGTGACTTCACAACCGTGAGAGCCAGGGGGCTGGGACCCCAACCCGTTCCTCCCTGATGGGCGCTACCCTAGTAACTCTGGGGATGGGGGGGGGAGACATGGAAGTGTCAAAAGTGAACAGTAACCATTCCAAAGGCATCTCAAGCCAAGACTGGTCCCAGCCCTGTCCAGGGCGAAGACACAGTCAGAGCTGGCTTGGCTCCCTCAGTGTCCAAGACCCGTCTCCACCCCACTCCTCAGCCCCACGATTGTCAGTCAGCCACACTAAGCTTACCCTTGAATCAACTCTTTTTTAATTTTTTAGTGGGGTTGTGGGCAGAGAATGGGCATATGAGGGGAGAGATAGGCATGTCTTACACCACTGTGGCCTCCAGGGGGTGCCTTCCTAAGTGTGAATTCCGGGGCAGAATTAGGCAGTCTGTCTCTTACCTCTGAGTCTTTGCCCGGCTGTACCAATCCCGTGATACACTTCTTCCTCACGGCTGTGTCTGAGAATAATCAGCTCTCTCCGAGGCACAGTCTCTTAGGAGATGCCTTTACCAACCCGCCGCTTTGTTAGCCAAATCTCCCTTTCTCAAATCATCTTACACTTCTTGCTTGTCCTGCATGGTCTGCTCATGCTGCGTACCCCAAGACTCTTCTTGTTTTTGTCTTTCTGTACTCGGTTCGAGCGTGGCGTCCGGGCACTTTACACATTCTTGTCAGATTGCTTTTGAATCGGTCTGACCCAACATTTGCAAGAATGGGATATGGGCAATGGAGAAAGATAAAAGGAAGAAAAAAGGGCACTTCTTCCCTCAGGAGCCTTCCTTGTTGGTAAATGTCCCTCTCTGTCTTCATAATGTCCACTACATGACTATGACATGGAGACAGGGTCCAGGGGAAGTGTATAGGGGCCACGGGCTCCCCTGCCCATAATGCACGTCTCCACGTTCTCCTCCTCTTGCCTGCTGTGGTTGGGGTGATACTAAGTTCCTTGTGTCTTTCCGATTATTCTGTTCTATTCACAGGCGTGTCCCTGGGGGCAGAAGAGCCTTCCTGAGGCCACATCCAATGACCGTGGACCAGACTCCCATGCCATGTTCCTGGAAACTAAATGACGTTAATGAGACAGAGAGAAATGAGACTATACCATATCAAGGGAGCAGAGCCGATGCTAAGGCGCTACCCATTATCATCCCCTACCTCACCGTGCTCATCAGCCTGGTTGGGTTGGTGGGCAATGGGATTGTCCTCTGGCTTCTGGGCTTCCGCATTAAGAGGAACCCCTTCTCTGTCTACATTCTCAACCTTGCTGGGGCAGATTTCGTCTTCCTTTCCTGCCAGGTGTTTTATGCTGCGGTCGACATTTTAAAAGATTGTTATGACACTTTGTCTTCTGTGGCTCACTTTTATGTCACCTGGTTCTTCTATTCCTCCTTTCCTGCACTAAAGGTGCTGGCCCCCATCACCTTCTCCTCCTACACCATGGATCTGAGCGTGCTGGCAGCCATCAGCACTGAGCGCTGTCTGTCCGTCCTCTTCCCTGTCTGGTACCGATGCCAGCGCCCCAAGCACACCTCCACGCTGGTGTGTGCCCTGCTCTGGATCGAGTCTGTGATGATCAGTGTGCTGACAGGAGATGGCTGTGGCTTCTTTTACAGAAAGTACAGTAAGCAGGCTTGCTATGACTTCACCATAGCCAGTGCTGTGCTGGTTTTTTCCCTGTTCTTTCTGACGTGTGTGTCCAGTCTGACTCTCTTCCTCAGGGTCCAGGGCAACTCACGGAGACGTCGGTCTCCCAAGATCTACATTGTCATTCTGTGCACGGTCCTCATGTTTCTCCTCCTGGGTCTTCCCTTCAGCATCTATTGGTTTCTTTTGTCCTGGTGGGAGGACACCTTTCTCAAGGACTGGAACCTGCCGTACTTCATCATTGACACACTCTCCTGTGCGAATAGTACCATCAACCCGTTCATTTACTTCTTCGTGGGGAGCTTCAGACAGCAGAAATCTTGGGAGCCCTTCAGGGTGGTCCTCCAGAGGGCCCTGCAGGATGAGGCAGAGCTGCGGGAGGAGGGAGAGATTTCACACCCAGAGATCATGAAGCTATCAGCTTGCGACTGCCAGAAGGGGGAAGGAGAGATGTAGAGAAATAATAACGTTATGATTACATTGTGCCTGTTGTCTTTCCCTTCGGACTATGAGCTCCCTGAAGGCATGACTGTCTTCAGCCTCTTTTTGTATCCACAGTGCTTAGCACTGTGCCTGGCACATAGTAGGTGTTTAATAAATGTTCATTAACAGATTAATGACTCTGTGTGTGTGTGTGTGTGTGTGTGTGTGTTTGTGTGTGTGTGTGCACGCGTGCATCATGGCCCTCTTTGTTGTGTCTGGTAAAGCCAACAGACTTCTCAGAATCATGTTTTTAAATGCATAAAACAAAACACAGAATTACAAGGGAAGTCCATTATATTGAAATAGTTATATTTTAGAAACCTCATAGATACCCTGAAATCTATCCGCAGACCTCCGAGGGAGCCTCGGGTGAAAGCCCCGTACACTGCCCTGTGTTGCCTTTTAGACCCTGAGAAGCAAAGTCACTTTTTTATCCCAGCCGTCGCTTTAGCTGCGTCCACCACTGCTGCCCTGTTCCATTGGAGAGGCAAGGGTTCGGCCGCCGTGTTCTTTCCCAGGGTCCGCTCTGTGCTTTCGCTACGCTGAAGAAAAGTCTAGAATTCTCAGTTTTACAGGAGGGTCTGCATCAGGAGCGTTGGAGTCATGGACTACAAGCTCAGCAGGCCTGGGTTCTACTTTCGCCTTTGCTCCCTACAGCCTGTGTGGCCTTGGACAAGCTAGTCAGATTACTGGACCTCTTGTTTCTTGCATGTGAAAGGAAGGTGCTGGATTAGAGAGATTTCAGGGGTCCCTCGCGGGTCCCAGTGGCTCTCTAAGGGCCAGGCTTGTGGACCTTGATTCAACGGCAATGAGGCCCAGAGGGCTCAGCTCATTTTTTTTTTTTTTGGTGAGGCAATTGGGGTTAAGTGACTTGCCCAGAGTCACACAATTAGTGAGTGTTACGTGTCTGAGGCCGGATTTGAACTCAGGTCCTCCTGACTCCAGGAGAGTGCTCTATCCCCTACACCACCTAGCTGCTCCTAGCTCATCCCATTCTTCTGGAGGAAAGAAAATGGGCAACAGTATCTATTTTGCACCAGGGGATCCTTATACTGGGGCATCCAGCCAGCCAAGCCGGGCACCACATTGACTTGCCTTCGGCACTACGGCCTCAGATCCTATTCTTCAGAATAGGGCCTGTCTACGTTAATGGAGTCAACACCTTTCCTGATTAATCATGACCCCACCCCCCACCCGTGCCCAGTCTTTTACCACGAAGAAACACTAGGGTATAGAAAGAGACCAAAACTGAGTGTGGGATTCCTAGCTGTTAAGTTTTACCCTAAAGCCATGAGAAGCATGGGTAGATTAATGGACATGTGGGTGTCAGATGTCACCGGTTAAGGGCCCAGTAGAATTCCATGGGTGGCTCTGCATATATCTCTGTCCTCAATTCTGCCTGACCTCTCTGAGGAGGACATGAGATAGCCTCTCTCTGTGTGTGTCTCTGCCTCTGTCTCTCCCTCCCTCTCTCTCTCCCTCTCCCTCCCTTCCTGTCACTCCCCTTCTCCCCCTGTCCCCCTCTCTATTTCCCTCTCTCCCTTCCATCTGATGGATCCGGCATCTTTCTAGAACCCCTCTCAGGCCTGGGAAAGGAGGCAGGCTTGGAGAAAGGAAACCAGAGGCAAATGGGAGCATCTGCCTTTGGCCAGAGGAGCATGGAGGGGGCAGAGAAGAAAGACTGCAGTCCCCCCCACCCCCAGCTCTGACATTGTTATCACTCCAGGCGCAGCTGGCCTACTCCACAGGTTTTCATGTGACACAAAGCTGGTCAGTGTCTACCCTATGGGATGACAGAGTCCAGACCCACGAAAGAACAAAGCATCAGATCTAAGAAAAGGCCACTGAATAAGCATGCTCAGACTTCTCTTAACACTCTAAGCTTTACCAAAGGCTTTCCAGGCGTTATCCCTATGGGTGCTCACAACTGCTTTGGCAGGCACGTGCTGTTATTACCCCTATTTTACTGATGGTGAAACTGAGGTAGACAGAGGCTAAGTGGCCTTCCAGGGTTATCTGAGGCAGGATTCAAAGCCATGCCTTCCTGACCCCAAGAAAAGTGAACGAGACAGAATGTGTCCCACGGAAGCGTGTTTATTTTGCATTTGCATTTGTGTTTGTATAGGTGTATATGTGTATGTGTGAATATGTCTCTCTATATATGTGTCTATGTTTATAGACACAAATGTTACTTAATGTGATTTAATAATAGCTAGCTTTAAGGTTTACAAAGCACTTTGCAAATGTTATCACATTTTTTGGAAATTGGATCATTACAGCAAACTCTGAGAAGTAGGGCTATTATTCTCATTTTTTACAGATGAGGAAACCAAGGCTAAGGTTAAGTGACTAGCCCAAGGTCATATATCTAGGAAGTGTCTGAGGTTGGATCTGAACTCAGGTTTTCCTGACTTCAGGCCCAGAGTTCTATCCACTGGGCCATTTAGCTACTTTTTATCACTAACTTTTTACCTAATACAGATGTTTTTTCTAATTTTTGAAAAACAGGTAAAGAAATAGCCTGTTACTAGTCTTTTCATGTCTGTCAGGCAAGGTGGTATATGTTTTGTGTGTATGTGTATGCATATGTGTATTTATATTGTATATATGTACGTGCATGTCTAAGTTTGTGCATATGTGTATGTATGTGCATATATATTCTATGTGTATGTGTGCATGGATGTATGTGGGTGTTTGTGTATATTGTGTACCTGTGAGCATGTGTATGTGTGCATATGTTTGTGTGTGCCTCCTTCTCTGCTCACGTAAGACATTTTTTCAGACAGCAGGAAAGCAATAAAAGATCATCACTTTACTTAAAGTTGTTTTCAAATTCATGCTTTCCCACTAACAAATGTATATATTTATGATAAGGGAGGCTACTGCGAATCCAGATTATCTAGCTATACATTAGCAGAAAACGACATTTCACGTTTTTATTTTGAGTACTCATCAATAGAAGTTAGTGATAAAAAGGGGCTAAATGGCCCAGTGACCAAGGATGGAGGAGGAGTTTGGGACCCAATTCCTTGGGCTCCGCAGTCGTGGACTAAGTGACGGGAAAAAGTCTGGCAAGATGTGCAGTGTGTAACACCTGTGGACCGCCCACCTCCATGATGGGATAGGTTGGGGATGTCTTCTATTTCTTCATTTGAGTCCCACTTAATCCTCATAATTTTGTTACATTTCCTTTTTTTTTTTTTTGGTCTGTTGCTGTACTGATTATTCTTTAAAAAATTGATAGAATTCCCCTGCAAATCCACTGGGACTAGGAATTTGCCCTGTGGTACTTTTTTTTTTTTTTACAACTAGATCTATTTCCTTTTCTGAGATTGGGTTATTTAAGATCTCCATCTTAATTTAACTTGGGTATTTAATATTTTTGAAGGTATTCCTCTGTTTCTTTTTGTTCTCAATTTTGTTAGTTTATAATTGTGCATAATGTATTCTGATTTTGTTGTTGTATCATCTGATGGCATGAGAGTAGAAGGAATCATAGATGAGGCCAAGTTCTCAAAAACCAAATGATCTGTGAGAGGCTGGGGGCAGAGAAACTAAAGGGGCCTCTGGGATGTGGAAGACCGAGACTTCCAGTCAGCATCTAGGTTCTCAATAGGGTCTTTCTGCTTTTGACCCAGGCTTCCCTTCCAAGTCAGGATCTCAGAGAAGTCAGAGAGCTCATGGGTAGAGCCTAGTCATTGACTAGATCTTGGTTTGGAACAAATGGGTAAAGTGTAGTCTGAGCATTGAAAATACTCGCCTGGGCAGGCACACGGGGTGGAAGTGGGCAGGTCACAAAGCATCAGAGTAAGAGGGCCATGAGCAAGTCATAGAGAGATGCTGAGATAATTCCCCTGCGGGAACAGTTTTCAATAATCCTAGTCCTTGAATGGACAGTCCTACTACATAGGAAACCTCAAGGACTTGTCCAAACTCTTCATTCCACTTGCTGTGGCCTCCAGGAAGACTCCTCTTCCCGAGTTCAAATCTTGCCTCAGACTTTGATTGGCTAGGTGACCTTCAACAAGTCCCTTAACCCTGTTTGCCTCAGTTTCCTCATTTGTATAATGATTTGAAGAAGGAAATGGCAAACCATTCCAAGAATGGTGTTTGCCAAGAAAACCTCAAATGGGTTTACAAAGAGTCAAATGTGACTGAAAAATGACTGAACCATAATAAGAAATGATGAGCAGAGCAGGAGAATTTCAGAAAAATGTGGGAAGATTCATCTAAACTCTTGCCAAGTGAAATGAGCAGAAGCAGGAGAACACTGTACACCACACCAGCAGCATTGTAAGGATGATCAAGCATAGAAGACTTAGCTACAATGATCAAGACGATGATCCAACACGATTCCAAGGGTTTATGATGCAAAATGCTACCAACCTCCACAGGGAAAACTGCTGGACTCGGAGTGCAGGTGGAAGCACACTTTTCTTAAACTTTCCTTATTTTTATTCTCTTGTTTGTGTTTTTTTAAACATTGTAGATATGATAATACACTTCACATGACTTTGTATGTAGCATCAATAGCAAATTGCTTGCATTTTCAAGGAGGGAAGAGGGTGGGAGAGAGGGAGAGAATTTGGAACTCCAAACTGAAAAAAATATATAATCATTAAGAATTTTTCACATAAATTTGAGAAAGAGTCAATTAAATAAATAAAAATAATTTTAATAAAAGAAACAGAGGGAAAGTTAGGGAGCCTGAAGGCAACACATCCCTCCACACAGAGACTGACCAGGAAAACACAGGCAAAGGGCTTGAGAAAATAACATTCCTTCTCTCTCCCTCAGGACACGGGCAGGGCTCATTTGTGGGAGTTTTTCTCCTTTCAAAGAATCACACATGAGGTCCTAGACCTCACCCTCCAAACAAACTCTTGTTTTTACAGCCTCGGGGACAGTTTCACAGAAGATTCCTTGGGTACCACAATGGTAGGGGCGCTCTCTTTTCTGTGAGGGAGGCTGCAGCTGACAATGCTCAGCGTCCTAATGGAGAGATATCTTTCATGGGCACCCCTTCTTAGTCATCCCATGGAACGTGTTCACTGTGTGCCTCCCTGCCTCTTTTCCTCCTGATCTGCTAGTTTATCACTTT